AAATTGCACAAGCAACAACTACCGAACAAAATTGAAACACCCTTACATCTGTTGACAAATGCACAGACCCATCATATTCGGCATCCCATAACCAAACACACCTTGCATGTTCAGTAGCGCACAACCATACAAAGGTCATGTGTTTGGCGAATCAGAACTGAAAAGCTGTGGTCGATGGTGACAGATTGGGTAGCAGTTGTTGGTAGGAGAAGCAAGGTAAAAGGAATGGGGTGACGGTAGAGGAGTGAGGTGAGGCGAAGAGGGGCTGAGTGGAGGAGAAGGGTGGCGGCAGAGAGGTTATAGTGGGGGGGAAGTCAATTTAATTTGGTTCAATTGATTAGATCATTGGTATTTTTTTATGAAAAATATACAGGTAAGTGTAGACACCTTATTTTTTACTACCCTTAAGACTTTGGCACTTCATTCCGAACACTCGATGATGAAATGTTATACTGTGTAATATTTCGAATCTTCAGCTAAAGAATTCGGTTTTGAGCTTTGAAACCAAAACTTGCACCCTATTTGGACCAAGACTTCCTTTTGTAGCCTGACCCTAAAAAAGTAGCAAGACCAAAAAATGGTCGGCAGGCCACATTTTCTTGGCCAGCTATACGTTCTCTTGGTTGGCTAGCCATGTTCAGCAAAACAGATATTTTGCAGCAGCAAGCTACTTCCATGCATGGGATTTGGCCAACTGCTATCTTTTGAAGATATTTTTGTTGGAAGGTGGTTGAAAATCTATAAATATAGCACCTCCCCTTAGAGTTTGGGGTTAGAACAATTTCCCAAAGGCTTAGACAATTGCCCCAAGCTTTTCTCTACCCTCTTGAATATAGATATAATATAGATACACCATTGAAGCTCAAACTTGAAACTTTTTGTTGAAGTTTTGAACCTTATTTGAGATACTTGAGAGTGTGTGGATTGAAGTTTGTGAACCAAGAAGCTCTTCCTCTTTTTAAGAGGTTGTTCTTTGAACTCTTTTCATTGCCTTTTCTTTTACTCTTTGCTCTTCATTTTCTGTTATAAACACTGATATTCATAGTTGTTTTAGGCTTAAAATTGTGATTTAAACCTTGATTGAAGGTGAAGGGTTAGCCACCCTTCTATAGGCTTATCCATAGTTGTGCTCTCTTTGTTTTCTCCATGCTTTTGCTTATTTTTCTTTACTTTTAGATTAATTTCAGCACTGTTTTAGTTAGTTTTTGTATGAATATGAACTGTATATATATGTTTAAATCTTGAAGTAGATAGCACAATTCTTGAATCTATCTCTCTTCTTCAAAGTTGTTGTAAGCTTTTACTAGTTCCATCTTTGAAGCATGGACATGGATGTCTCATCCATATTCCATGAGTAGGAAGATGAACACACAACAACTCTTTTTTGCTTTCATTCATTTGCTTAGTCTTCTTTTGGTTTTGCTTTGAAGCCGTCTGAGAGCTCTTTCATCGGAGGTATTAGAGACTCTCTTCTAGTTCATTTTGAAACATGGAAATGGATTTCAATCCATCTTCCATGAGTGGGAAGAAGAGTCTCTTTGCTTTCCCCAATGATGTAATCTCTTGTTTGTAAGCTTTATTTTCAAGAATGGCTAAACCTATTCTCTCTAAATTTGAGTACTCACTTACTCTTATTTTCCATGAGATAGAATAAGTTGCCATCTATGCTTCCTCTTCTTAATTTGCCTTAGCTTTGTATTTATTGATTTCAATCCTGTTGTTTCATTAATCATCATCTAAATACCCTTGGGATGTTTGTTGATTTGTGAAGCAAACCTACTCTCTCCTTGAAAATCTTCATGATAAGAGGAAACAGGAAGGATGAACATTTTTTGGAAACTCTCTATTTTTGCTCTATTCTAGTTTTGTTGCAGCAGGTTTTCTTCCAAAAGCAGTGGCCGGTCGGCCACAATCTTATACGACGACCAGGTCATCAGGCCAGCCGACCACTTTGTTTGTACGGCAGTGGTGGTTTTTCAGTGAAATAGAGCAGATCCTGAGGTCCAAAATAGAACCTTTTTTTTTTCTCTAACTATGAACAGGGCAGAGTCTGGCAAAAGCAGAGAGGGTTTCCGGAGGATGTTCTTGCTTGTGCGCACACAATTCCTTGCTTTTCATTCAACTCCTTTCGATTAGTATTTGTAAGAATTAGTTAATTCGTTCATTCATTTGTGTTTTTAATAATTAGTTAATTAAGACATTCAGACCCTCTTGTACGTGAGCAAGTTTGTAACACTTGAAGTATGTCTTCCAACCTCTATTTCTTTCTCCTTTTTATTTACATGTTTACCATAGTTATATAGTATCATATTTTCTTTTATCACTACCATGATTTGTATCCATTTTTGCATGCATGAAGGTTCGACTCATCATACTTGATATCATTGCTTATTTCTTACTTGAATATGTGTACTACCGCATGCTTTGGGTGGATCCATGTGACATGTTCACAGCCGAATCAAGTAGTTGCATTGTGTATGTATTGCATCAATCATGTGCTTTTCTTTAGGATCATGCATTTTCCTAACTATCTTCTTTTCTTTGGCTTACCTTAGATGAGTTTTGGGCAAGCATTTTTGCTTTAGCATACTGCATGTGTGTCTTTGTTACCATGTCGAGCATACTAGCATGAGGCTACTAGCTTACTTGAAATATATCTATGAATACCTGTGGATGGAGGCTATTTTGTTTAGATTGGAATGACTTTGATTATTGTATTTATGAGCTCGCTTTTCCTTTAAGTTGCACATATTCAAAACTCTTTTCAAGAAAACTTAAAATCAACGCAATCCAAAGTAAGTGACGTGGTCAATATTTGTTTGCTTCACATAGTAATGTTAGTATATTAAATAATCAGAATATGAGCATATAATGTCCATAAAATTCACATCATGATTTAGTAGAGGCCAATCTTTGATCGGGTGAGTGGGGTGCTCAATTCATGGCCATCCCTTCTCATATCTAAGTTCCCAAACTGAGACACTTTGGCTATAATGGACAAGTGGCCTTTGGCATAAGTCACGGGTTTTCTAAATTTCTCAAAAATATTTAGGTGGCGACTTTGAAATTTTGTAATATAGTTCATTTTTGATATCTCTGATGATTAATGGATTTTCTAAGATTTGCCGATTTAGACTCTCATTCGTTTTTTTCTGTTTCACATTACACTTGTGAAACAAGATTCAGAACCACAGGAGTTCGAACTGTAGGGAATTACATTCGAGGAGACTAAACCCCTCCGAGGAGTGCAAAAAACCAGCTACAGTTTCTGGCAACTCTGCTAGGGATTTGGAGAGTTTGACTCGAATTTCATGATGTGAAATTTTATTTATATATATATGTTCATTGCATTGCATTTGCATGGTGCTCATAAGTCACTGTGTTTACCATCTGATATCCTAGACAGCTTACTGGAGGCTTCCCAAAAGCTTGCCAAAAGGCTGGACGGATGTAGGCAATGTCACATTGGGAATACAACCCTTGGATCTGGGTTACTTTTGTACTGCTTGATCCTCTTTTCACTTTTCGGTGTTAGATGTAAGAGGTACATTAGGTAATCTTGCTGAGATACCCTTTTTTGACCAATTGGCCTAGTGCATGTAGTAAGCTCTAGTGACTATTGCAAAATAGGACAAGAGGCTCATCCATATTCAGGATATTGTGATACCACTTGTTTGAAATAGTGGAACTCTAGATCATGAAAAAGCTAGGACAGGGTAACTCTACCCTCTCATAGGGATGTTTGTGCTCTCTTTACCTGCTATGTGCTATGTAGTGCATCTATATAGGGGTTCCTGGTATCAGTGGTTCGGTTATATCAGTTTGTGGGGTAGAATTTAGTGGAGAGTATAGTCATTCAGTTGTGATTATATCTATTATGATGAAGATTAGACTGAGGTGCCGTTTGTTTTTTTTCTTTTGCTAGGTAGTCCTAAAATCATATCTTCAGAAGGTTCTGATATCCCCCAGGTATTCTAGACTCGTGTTGGTAGACTTTGTAAGGTTGGAGATTTAGTTCAGGGACAGTCAGTGTTTGCTTCACTTTCGTCAGTGGGAAGATGAAAAAGGGCCAGACAATGTTCACCGATTCCACTATTTCGACATTCACCAGTTAGATTGCCTTTGTTCAGTTCATCTTGGATACAATCATCTACACCTATAATAGCTCAGCCTCCGACAACTCTAGAGGATTTACTGATTTGTCTTCAGCAATCAGTAGATTCGCTCTAACATGATATGGCCCGACAAATCGAGATCACTAATAGGTTACAAGAACAACAATAGCTAGCTGCGGCGTTTATTTCTCATACACCTAACACTGCTACTCCTATGCTGGGTACTACTGCCAATCCTATGACCCAGGATCTATCAACCGAAGGTGTTCCTATTCTTTCAATCTAGGTAAATCCAATTGCAATCCAGAGTTCTAAAACTCCAGTTCATCAGACTGAGGCACCTTTCAAGTTCTAGTTTGACCCTACACTGCTCAAAGTCAAGAGGCTTGAAAAGTTGTTCAAAAAGGCACAAGGAGTTAGTTCTATTCCAGATATCGAAGACGGGTACACTAAATCTGCTGTTACTCTGCTAGAGTGGTTCAAGATGCCTCATATTGACCATTTTTATGGTTCTTAGGATCAGATGGTTCATTTGCATCTATTTTCTGATATTTTGAGATCGATGGATTGGACCAGAATCCAAAAGTTATCGCTGTTTAGAATGACTATGCTTGGTATAGGTGCCATCTGGTATGCTAAATTGGAGAACTCTGTGAAATAGAGTCGAAAGAGTTGGCTGAATCCTTTGTCTCCCAGTACTCCTATAGCACACAAAGCGAGGTCACAACTTGTGATCTCGAGGCAACGCGTCAGGAACGAAAGGAGGGTTTTTCAAAGTTTGTTACTAGATGGAGGGCAAAGGTGGCTATGATGGCAGACAAGCCTCTAGAGAAGGATCAAGTCCGTATAATTGTTAGAAATCTGCATGAAAGGCTATTATAGAAAATGATAGTCTTCCCATTATTTAACTTTAAGGATCTCCATGAAATTGGGGTTCAAATCGATGATGCCATTAAACAAGGGATCATTGTGGAAGGTAATAAGCATATGAGGAATAATGTTGTTTGCAATTCCAATGCTACTACCAGTGGTAGCACAACTACGAAATGCTCAGAAGTAAACACTGTCACCAGTCCCATCAAAAACCTTTTTGCTGATAATAGCCAAAGACCAACCACTTTAACTTGACCCCAAGCCTAAAATTTCCATTCTCTTTACATGGATCTCTCTCAAGCCTTGAAAATTCTGTTAGAAAAAGGGCACCTAGAGCTCCTAGAACCCCGACCCCTCCCAAGTCCTCTTCCTCCAAGACACGATCCCACTAAATACTTTGCTTATCATCAACAACATGGTCATGATACAAACCGTTACGTCTGCCTCCGTCTTAAGATTCAAGATTTTATTGACGAAGTGATCATAGCTCCACCAAAAAGACCTCATGCCACCACTAACCTAGTACCTCCACACTTCAACCTAATCCATACACTGCCATCCATCTACAACCCCAACATATACATCACCCCAGCTCATTTACCCAAGCCTGAGGTGTTCATTCCAGAAAGCACAGATTTGTATATGATGGATGCACTTGAACTCCAATCATCTCAAACCCCAAAAGTTGAACTCCACAATAGCCCAATTTCAGTCCAACCTACTCCAAAGAGCCTAACCCAACCAATTACTCAAGAATAAGTCAATTCAAATACATTGCGGGCACCAATGGCCGAACCCACTACTTTTGAGCTATTGAGCATGATTAAAGATCTTCAGAGAACTGTGGCAGATTTAGCCTTTGGGATATTTGCTCCATTATCAACCACATCACATGCAAAAAATTTCACATCAAAAAGCTCCCTGACCTTGGGGCAAGCTGTAATTGGAAAGGGCCAACCTAAAGCTATTTAAAGTTTGGGTGATAACATGTCAACAATGAATGGGCCTCACTCCGATATAGCCACCCAATCTATTGGCAAAGCTGAAGCAAGTGGCACGAATAAGGCAGGGGTAAGTATTGATCCCTATGCACATCTTTGGTGGGCTATTGAGGCTTTGAAAGTCAAAGGGTTGAACAAGCAGCAAGTGCTTGCAGTTGTTGCAAAGACTGTGGGTGACATTTTTGTGACTCAGGTTGGGGGCATTTTGAATCAGGAGGTAAGCCATGAAAAGGGATGCCTTACCAAAAACACCCCCTTCAGCTCCAATCTTACACCCATAAGAATCTCTAAACCCAGTCAAGACCTGTTGACCCCTCTATCAATACTTCCAGGACTGGTAGTTGCACCTACAATCCCCTTTACATGACATTGTCCAAAGCTCTCCAACTCCTTATAGGACAAGGCCATCTCAAACCTCTTGACCCTTGGCCTCTCCCTAATCACCTTCCAGCCAAGCGTGATGCTGCTAAGTATTGCACCTTCCATCAGCAACCAGCCATGACACTGACCGTTGTTTTCTCTTTCGCCATGAAATTCAAGACCTGATTGACAATGGGGTCATCACCTCACTAGGTCCTACAAAGTCTATTGGCGTTGGATCAATGAACTTAGGGGATAATGTGACTAGTTCTATGATGGGGGATGAACCACTTGCTGATGGAATGCATTTTACTCCAGACATTGTGGATGGTATGCACTGTGTTTATCAATTTAAAAATGTTCTTTGTTTTACTTTCTAAATTGGGTGTCGAGTCAGTCTTGTTACGTCAGAGTTTGGTGATTTCGAGAGTGTAAACTTGGACATCACTGTCCTATTGTGTTTATCGTTTCACTCTTTCTTTTGAGTCTGTTTCAATCATTGAGCTAGAAGTTCTGAACAAAACTGGAGTGATTTTCATTTATTTCTCTGTGCCTTTAAATCATTACATTGACCAAAATTTTTCAAAACTGGTTCCAAAACTATGGTGAGAGCAAAGAGGAAGGAATCCCTTGGGATTCGCAAAATTTGATCGACTGATAGGAAGAGAGGTGTGCTAAAGCCCTTAATGAATGAGATCATGTCTGTTGATGTGGGTACTGAGAAGGATCCTGACTTGGTCCAGATTGGTTCTAAATTGTCTTCAGAGGACCAACGAGCGACTAGTCATTTTATTAAAAGATTTCAAAAACATTTTGCGTGATCCTACGAAGACATGCTTAGACTTGATCTCGAGATTGTACAACATAAGATCACTCATGACCTTAAGACTCGACCCCTTAGTTTTCAAACCTTGACATGTTCAACGATCAACCAAAATATGAGGCTTGCAGGGCTAGATGGAATGCATCTCTTGAACTAGGGGCAATAAGGTCGGATGTGATCGAAGGAAGCTTGTATAGCTAGATTAGAAACAGTCCTTGAACTAGGGGAAAAAATATCAAATGTGATTGAAGATTCAAAACTGAGTCATTTCTCAAGGTAATGGAGACCGGCAAAATCCCATTTTACACTTTAATGTCTTTTAAATAAAAAAATTTCAATTCATATGAACCCATAACTATAAAATATTACATAATCATGCCAAATCATAGATGTATAGAGTTAAGAGAACCCATACCTTAAGGATGTAAGTAAGAGATGAAAACCGAAGAAAAAACCTTAGAGAAACTGTGATCGAATCGATGAAGGTATTGATCTCTACATATTCTACACTTTTAATACAAGATCTAGGGTGAATTCTTAGTAAAGATAGATGAAATATAGAGTTTGAAGGCTAGGGTTTTCGGACATGGAGGAGTAAGGGAGAGAAAAGAGTGAAAAGGAGCAAAAAGTTGGTTTTATATTGTTTGAACCAGATTAGACCACTTGAACGGTCAACCCAATGTTTGAGCGGCGTGAGAGCAAAGATTGCTCGAGCAGTTACTCCTTTGCTAGAGCAAAAAACTCCCTTTCCTAGAATTTTTAGACCTGCAGAGAGAGATATTGGCATCCTTCTTTCACTGCTCGAGCGGTCAATCCACCGCTCAAGTAGTCCTCCACTTCTTCTAGATATTACAAAAATTATCAAGTAATAATGATTAAAGGACTTAACAAGTGTACTTTAAAGGGCCTAAATGTGTACATTTCGGTAGTTTTCACACCCCCTAACTTACACTTTGCTAAAGCAAAATAAGAAAAATATAAAAAGAAATCTAACTACATTTTCTTTGGCAGGATACACAATTGCATTTAGCTTATGCAATAAGCCTTTAAACTAGAAGGTTACCCCTAGTGGATGAGTTGTAGTGTTGTGAGGGTTTCCAGAGATGGTACCCACAAACATCGAATATGTTGGTCATTATTACAAGAGATAGAATGCTCAACTTTAACTCTGAATTCAAATTGATACCTTATCAAATAGTCAATACAGAATATCATGTAGTTAAGGTGTAATAACCCTCACGCTATCCTAACCATACTCATATGCAGTCATGTGATTTTGTCTTGTAAGCTTGCATTTCAAGTCTTGTCCTTGTTCGTTTAAGTGTTATAGCATGTTTTGTACCTTGCTTGGTGTGAGTTTAGCTGAGGTCATCTTCAGTCTAGAATTATCTTGGAACCCCTTTGTTTGACCTCCACCTTCGCCCTAACATATTGGCCGAGATGTCACTATCTAGGCCAAGGTGTGAATCATCTAGGCCGAGATGTTACCTTTGCACCTAAGTGATCTTGTCCCGGAGTGGTATGACCTAGACCGAGGTGTGGCACATCTAGGCCAAGGTGTGGCACAGCTTAGTCAAGTGTTGTCCTTCCTAGCCGAGGTCATTGTTCCCTTACTTGCCGATGCCTTGCTTTTAGCCGAGATCATTGCCTACCGAAGTGCCCATGCCATCTTGCTTGTTGAACACACTTTGTCGTAGTCCTGTCTTGTCACTTAGCCACCTTTTTGAGCAGCACCAACCAGCCGCTGCCACGTGCCACTGTAGAGGGTTAAGTCAGCCAACAGACCTAGAAATGTATCATTTTGCTATATGCCTTTGTTTGTGAGAAGAGAGAAGCTCTAGAAGAAGAAGAAGTTTTGGAGTGAGAGAGTGGGCTTTCGAGCTTGATTCCTAGAGATCAAATCATTAGATTCGCGTATTGAGGTTAGATTCTTGATTTACTCTTGTCGTTCTTATTGATCATCTAGCTGCATTGCACGATCGAACATGTTCTGCATGTCATGCATCGATTTAAAGTTGGTTTTAGAAAGAGAAAATAGTGTTCATATGTTCTTGAAGAGAAAGTCTTGTTTGATCCGAAAGTTTGCATTAAGATTCATGTTTTGTGTTTGTTTTCACAAGATCCTTGAATATGGGTACCCAGGTCCATGTTTTTGAACTCATAGCATGAAATCTCAGATTTTGTAATAGTAAATTATGATCTTTGCATTCATCTTCCTCATGTTCATGTTCTTCATGTTCATCATGTTCTTCAAGAGAGGGAAACCCAGATTTTTCCCGACTTCATTCCTTTGAATGTGGCCATCGAGGCCACACCTCGGCGAGGGGGTGTGGAACCTCGGCCTAGACCTGGTAGTTGCCCGACATGTTTTCCCGAGATAAAGAACTGTGATTGTTTTGATTTGACTTAGTCTTGAGGAATGCTGAGATCATCTACATGCATGTGAAACTTGTTTGTAAGTGCATTCAACCGACCTTGCCATGTGTTTGTAGGACTTGGACTTGCCTTGACCCCGACGTTTGAAGAACTAAGTGAGTGGTATTTTTAATAAAGCTATGTTATAATGCTTTGATAAAAGTCTTGTTTTGCTTCATTTTGAAAAGTATTTGTAAGCATGAATGGTTATTCCTAGTTGGAATATATATATACTATCTTGTTTTGATGATATTCTTGGAAAGTCCGTATGTGCTAAGGGACTATAAGCATTTGTAGCACAAAGTTTGGAAGTCCATACGTGCTAAGGGACTATAGGCATTTATAGCACAAAGTTTGGAAGTCCGTATGTGCTAGGGGACTCTAAGCATTAGTAGCACAAGTTCTTAGTGTCAGGGGACTATAATGCAACGACACCATTGAATTGAGATATCTCCCTTGTCTTGTCTTGTCTTGTTTGCCACTGATGGTTTACCGCGTGGGTTTGTTTGCCGAGATGTCATCACTTGTATTATAATGATGCTAATAAGCATCCCTTGAAACTTGATGGATTTGCTAGATGGACTTGGTTCATCCTTTGTCTTGCACTAATTAAGTTATGTATTGTTTGATGAAGAATCTTGAATACCAGTCATGCAAACCCCTTTATTATTTATACCATTCACTGAGTATCCAAGCTCACCCTCTCTATATATATGTAGGTAATGAGCAGGAAGGCGGTGATGCCTAGGTGTGACTCGCGAGCTTGTTTTGAGTTTTTGTTATGTCGGCCTGACTTGTATTCACGTCAGCAGTCTTGAAAATTATGCTTCTCGACTTATAATACTTGTAATTTACACATGTTGGCTTGAGAAGCCTTTTGATCAAGATGTAATATGTATTTTTGGTACTTCGTTGTAATTGTATCCAAGTTGTAAAATTATGTAAAGTTGTATGCCATTCCATGTAACTTACGCACTGCTCTTATGGACCACTTGTATTTTTAAATTATTGCTTCCGCACTTGTGAGCCCCATATATATATTTATACTCTGATGGTGTGTCGATTTTGAAGGTTGGCCTTCGGTAATCCCGGATTACTGGCCATCACGGCACCAAGCTACTAGGGGCGGTTTGGGGTCGTGACATAAGGGCCATAGTTATCATTTATGAATTGAGTTAAACAATGAAACATTTTAATTCTAAGCAATACTACTCAAGTCCTATATACAAGCACTTAGTAGAAAACCATCGCATGCTCCTATGGTGTAAAGTAAATATTCACATAGAAATACGATCCCTCAACTTAATCCTTATAACGCTTACATCCTTTAAACCATTGGAAAGTGCATTTGATTCCTTTTCTTTTGTTATTGAGATCTTTGGGAGGTGTATTGTTGTTTTGGTTGGGTGAAAATTTGATCTAGACTTTAATAGAACTGTTCCTTTGTGCTTGGTTATGTCAAAGACTATTTTAGAACCTTGAAATTTTATGCAGGGTGTCGACATTAGCCTTTTCGGGTTCAACACCAGCATTTCCTTCTTCTTCCCTCTAGTTTGTGCTTTCTGGGGTCGACACCATCCCTTCTCAGTGTCAACACTATTGGACTTGTGTAATAGAATTTTGGGACTGCTTTCTGGTGTCGACACTAGGGCTTGGTGGTGTCGACACTCGACCTGCTTTAAACATAATTGAAACCCCGCTACTTTTTTGTATCGACACCCCTTCTTCTTGGTGTCGACACCCCTTCTCTTGGTGTCAACATTTGATGAAAAATTTCAGAATTTTGATAGCGGGTTGGGCCGTACTTTTGGAGGGTTTTGACTAATTGTTTTGGTTAACTTTGGGGCTAATATTCTATTATTACCCTATCGCTATAAGTAGGCCCTCAAACAGTCTCTTTCCTCATTTTTCTTTTCTTTTTCTCTTTCTTTTCTTTTTCTCTTTCTATGCCGTGATCTCTCTTCTCTATCTCTAAACTCAAATTTTTTGATTTAGATCTCTAGATCTACTTAGTTTGGGTCCTCTCCACACCTTGGTTCTTGGAGAAAGATTGAAGATATTGTCAAGGGCTTTCTTTTGATCCAAGAAGTTT